CCTGCACGAGGCCAACTCCAGAAAACACCTACAACACAACTGCAAACTGCATTTCAAACCCAGGCAGGAACAAAGGAAATTAATAGCCTGAATACGTCCACGCACCGATTCAGCCTCTCCCAGCTAGAAGAGCTCTGCTTTTCAAAAGACAACACCACCCCAAGTCCAAAGCAGTGCTAATGGGAAGTCATTACCCACACAAGCCAGCGTGCAGTGAACTGTCAGCACACCTGCTTTCCTCAACCCTCTGGAGCTTTACCTTCACTGGAGCTTATTTACAGCCCCCCTCCCGAGGGAGAACCTCCTGCTCCTGGTTCTGAGCTCTCCTGCTCTGCCAGGATCCCTCCACCTCAGAGCCAAGGTGAGAGCGGCAGGGCCAGCGCGTTCCATCCTGGATCCGTGTCTCTTTAGCATTCTGGGCGAGTACCAGCACATGTCGAGACGGGAGGCAGGGACAAAAGGCACAGCACAACAGAAAAGGCAGCAGCCAGGCTCCAGCACGATGTTCCCAGCCACCTCCCCGGGACCCGGCAGGAGGGCTCCAGCTTTCCCTTTTCCTCACACCTCACGCTTGCCAACAGAAGCACCAAAGCACCCCCACTCAAATGTCTGGGGGTGCCCACACTGGGACAGCAAATCCCGTTGGCCTTGGCTGTTCCTCGAGCCTGGGCAGGGCCCCCAGCAACTGGGAAACACGCAGGATGCCCACAGACCCTCCAGCACCCCGGGAGCAGAGAGGATCCCCACAGACCCTCCAGCACCCCGGGAGCAGAGAGGATCCCCCCAGACCCTCCCGCACCCCGGGAGCAGAGCGGATCCCCCAGACCATCCAGCACCACGGGAGCAGAGAGGATGCCCACAGACCCTCCAGCACCCCGGGAGCAGGCAGGATGCCCACAGATGGCTCAGCAGTGGGCCCGGGTGACACAGGGGAGCTGGCCCAGAGCTGCTCAGGGATTCTTGTCAGCCACCCCCATCCTCACGGGAAGGCTTAAGGAACCAGCCCAGGAGGAGAAGGTTCTCCCCGGGTGCAGTGCTCGCTCTGTACATCACCCAAAGCCCCAGCGTGCCCTCCCTTCTCCCCAGCCTTCACATACCTGCAGAGCATTACCACTCTGCTCTCAGCTTTATCAGATCAACAACAACACGAATCCCCCCCCAGCAAAACACCCGCTCCAGTCCAAGAACCTCCTTTCCAATGACAATTAAACGTTACAATCATCTAGACGTGGTGCCACTGAAATACAGGCAATAAACGCTGTCCGTCAGCTTCACAAGGCAAAGACTTTTTTTTTTTAGTGTCAGTTCCTTCTACACCTCAAACAGACTAACGGATTAGCCGTCGTGTTCGGCCCCATAAAACCGGATGCAACGCTGTTACAATTTTTATTCGCTCCCGTACAAATACAAGCAATATGTGCGCTGCCACCAGCTGATACACCCTGAAACCACAGCCCAGCAACGCAGCCTGCCCATTACTGATGCTCCATGACACCGGCTGCCAAGGAAAGGGGCACCTGACCAAGGCGACGAACCAAAAAGGGCATTAAACAGGATTTTTAAGACCGTTCTGCTCACGCCTGCGTCAGCTGGGTTCTGCAGAAGAGCGCGGCCGATAAAGCCGGCGCACGGCGATTAGTTATCGCGGGTCCTACCCCCCTTATCGGCTCCATCTGCACCGGGACCAGGCAGTGCCCGACACCGCTCCGGGCGCTCCGGCCCCGCGGCCGCTCCCCGGGGCCGGGAGGGGCGGACGGGGCTCTTTGTTCGCACCTGCCGGCGCTGCGGGCGCTGCCCGGGCCGGGCCCGGAGCCCCGCGGGGCGGGCGGCGCTCGCCCTCCGCCACCGACCCTCGACCTTCGCTCCCGCGGCGCCCTCGCGGCTCCCGCCGGCCCCGCTCCGCGCCCCGCACCCCGCGCTCACACCCCGCGCCCCGACCCACCTCGTCCTCCGAGAGCCCGTACACCGGCTCCGCCGCCGCGGTCGCCATGGAGCCGCTCCTCGACCCGCCGAGGCCGCCTCCTCTTCCTCCTCCTCCTCCTCCTCCTCCTCCTCTTCTGCCGCCGCCGCTGCTGCTGCCGCTGGCCCGCGGGCGGCGGAAGGCGGCGGGAGCCGAGCCCGGCGGGAAGGGGCCGGGGCCGGGGCCGGGGGCGGGGGCGGGGCCGCCCGGGGCCGCCCGCGCTGCCGCCGCCGGCCGGGACCGAGCGCGGCCGCAGGGACGGGGGAGCGCCGGCGGGGCGGGGAGAGCGGCGGGGCCGGCCCAGCGGCGGCGGGAGGGGCGGGCGGGGAGCGGCACAAAGCGCGGGGGCAGCTCCGCTCCGCGCCCCGCCCGGGGGACGGCTCTGAGGGGGCGCGCGGGCGGGGCCTGAGGGGGGCGCGCGGGGGAGGGAGGGGGCGCGCGGGGGGCGCGCGGGCGGGGCCTGAGGGGGGGGCGCGCGCGGGGAGGGGGGGGCGCGAGGAGCGGGCGCGCGAGTGGGGGGGGCAGAGGGGGCGAGCCACCAGCGGCCGGGAGCGGCACCGCCGGTGGCTTTGGCGCGGGACAGGGTATGGGGACCCGGGATGGGGACCGGATGGGGACCGGGATGGGGGACCGGGGGATGTGGGGACCGGTGTGGGACCGGGATGGGGGACCGGGATGGGGGACCGGGATGGGGGACCGGGATGTGGGACCGGGATGGGGGACCGGGATGTGGGACCGGGATGTGGGACCGGGATGGGGGACCGAGATGGGGACCGGGATGGGGGACCGGGATGTGGGACCGGGATGGGGGACCGGGATGTGGGACCGGGATGTGGGACCGGGATGGGGGACCGAGATGGGGACCGGGATGGGGGACCGGGATGTGGGACCGGGCAGGGGACCTGGATGTGGTGACCGGGATGTGGGACCGGGTGGGGGACCGGGATGGTGGACCGGGCTGTGGGACCGGGATGTGGGACCGGGCTGGGGACCGGGATGGGGGACCGGGATGGGGACCGGGATGTGGGACCGGGATGGGGGACCGGGATGGGGGACCGGGATGGGGGACCGGGATGGGGACCGGGATGTGGGACCGGGATGGGGGACCGGGATGGGGGACCGGGATGTGTCCCGATCTGCGCCCCGGGATGTGTCCCGGTGCGGGGCAGGGACGGGCAGGGACGCGGAGCTCCGGCCTTTCATCCCTCGCCATCAGGGTTTTTAGGGAAACACAACGCTGGGGGCACTTGGAGCGAGGGCACTTCTGGGCGAAATCAAGTCACGCTTCAGTTGTAAAGGAGATCCCTTGTTCTGGAGAGGCTCCACAGCAGCCCAGGGACCAGGCAGCATTTCTCCAGCCTTTCCAGAGCCCTTCTGGGGCAGGAAGGACGTGACCTCTGCCCAGACAGCAGTGCCCCAGAGCTGAGCTGGTAAAGTCCAGCCTGGGGAGGCATCGTCAGCCTTTGTACTCCCGGAGTCCCTCCTGGCTGTAAATGCCACGTGGTGCAGCCTGTGGCACGTCAGTCTGCTCCTGGCACAGTCACACTGCTCCTGTTTTCCCTGCCAAGGCATCCCCCCATGGTCTGGCCCACAGGAGCACCTGGCACAAGGCTCGTTCCGCAGGTCCCGTGTCCAGAAAAATCCAGTTTGAGTCCTCTTTGGCCCTCTCCGTGCCTCTGGAACCGCAGCCAGGGCTGTTTCCTCCCCCCTCCCACCATTCCCATCAACAGGTGCTCCCCGGGGGGAAAATACACCTGCACCTGAGCAGAGTGAAGGGATCTGTGGTGCCAGAGCAGAAAATCTCTGCCGTGACCAACGGGGCTGGATCGCAAAGCTTCAGCACCAAATCCAGGCCGCAGATTCCTTGTTGGTTTGCCCGTGAGCGTTACGTGCATAATTCCTCTTTGGAATTGTGTTTACAATAATGGATGGCCCCGGAGAGATGTAATTCATGTGAGACTGCTGATAGCAGAAATCTCCAGGTGCGGCTCGGATGATTTATAACTGGCGTCTTTATGGAACACAAAGCCCCATGAATTATTTACCGTTTTTCCGAGAAAAAAACAGATTCGATATGATATTATGGCTGGCAGTCCTCCATGGAAGCTCCAGCTCCATCCCCCTGTGTAGGATGGGAATAAACACCTGATACAAAAACGTTTCCGTCTTTGACAAGGACTCCTCAGAAATCCCCAATGAAACAAAAGCCTGGGGAACCAGTGCAAAAGCTCAGCTCTTCCCACTCCTTGCAGCCACTCTGCACGGCAAAAGCTCGGCTCTTCCCAGGGTTTCTGGCTGTTCTTTGTTTTCCTGCTGGACTTAACTGTACCAGCCGTTACCCAAATATTGCGAGACGCTCCTCAGAAGGTCGCTGGAACATGCCAACAGAGAGCCTTTACACCGTAAATCCCTCGTACTTTTAATCATCCACTGACAGCAGACACGGAGACAATCCAAATAAACCATGATCTTCCCAAATACAGATGGTTTGGATTGTCGAGAATTGGCTTGAACAGATTAATAGAGCCCCGAGCTAAGCAGAAAATGCTCTTTAGGAAATGAGCTGGATGCCTCTGGCTCACCAAACAGCATTAGGAGAGCAAACTGCTGCCAGAGCCTGCCCAGAATGACTTGCTTTTTGCTCCTCTATTTATTATTTATTTATTCTGAACAGCTCTGAGAGTGCAACAATCCCCAGGCACTCAGGAGTTAAAAATCACCCTTTGCTTTGACGTGGCATCAGCTGCACGTGGAGCTTCATAATTCCTGATCGTTGCCCTTTAGTGACTGCAAAGGGCCATTTAAAATGGCCTGTTCACGCTGTATCAGAGCTTAAAAAATCGCAACAGTAATAATGGCAAGGTAGGGATTTGATCTGATTGGCTTTTCCCTCCCCGGTTCAGAACAGGATTTCAGGATTTCCACAGAGGAGGAAATAAATCTGCCTCTCACAGGGCTGAGAGGAGGCTGTGTGCTGACACACCTCAGCATCCTTCAATATTTAATGCTGTTACTTAACAATCTTTTGCTGGGGAAAAAAAAAAAAAAAAAGCTTTTTCTCACTGCAGAGAGATTTTTCTCTTTCCTTCTGGAAAAATTTCACCGGGAGCGTTAATATTTTATCAGGCTGCTGTTGTGCTCCGTGTTCTCAGCAGCGTTGGGATGGCTGGGGGCTGAGCAAGGTTCTGAGCACAGAAAACCGGTGGCAGATTAACTCTTTAAAAACACACATCTTGCCGTGTATTATTGAAAACCCATCAAGGGTATAACCCGAGCCGAATCGAGCTCCCCCAAAACGTGCATTGTTAATTGTGGCTCAGATCCCAGGGGCAATGTAACACTGCAGGCATGAGCAAGGAGAGAAAAATGAGCCCTGGGGAAGTCGGGATAATTTCTGTGTTTCTGTCAGCAATGGGCAGTTCACAGGAAAGGGAAAACCCGACATTTCGGAGCTATTTAAAGGGCGCTAATAGAATTGCAGGACCTGATCTCTGAGGTGTGGTGCCACAAGGGCTTTGAAAAGGGGCTGCTAATTGTTCTGGGAGGCCTTTGATGTAGCCGGTGCCTGGTTTTTGGACAATCCGGGAACTCCTGGGAGGCCAGAGTCTCCCCCGGCCCCTCAGAGGCTTTTCTTCCTGCTCAGCAATAAAGCTGAGAATGTTTTACCTCGCTGAGCTCGGTGAGCAATCCAAACACCACGAGGTTTGTTCTGCAGGCTGCTGCTTTCCCTTGGATCTCGTGTTCTGGCTGGGTTTGCTGGGTGGACAAACCCGGGGCAGAGCAGCACGACAGAGGAAAGGGGGAAATAAAAAAGAAACCCGAAACCTTCCTGGAGTCACGGTGGTTCCAATTTGCCCCTGAGTGTGACACTCACCTGTGGGTGAGCTGGAGATGGGATCCGGGGCTGGACTCCCACGCGGGAGCTCTGCACACCTTCCCTGGGAACAGGGCTGGGAACGGGGGTGAGTCACACAGTCCCACTGCCTCTAATCTCTGGGGCATCTCCCCAGCAATGCTGCCCCTCCTGTTCCACCTGAGGGACTCACAGCTCTCTCGGATGCCCCCTGGACTGCTCACCCCTTGAGGGAGGGAAAGAATCCCAAAAGACTGGTGCAGTGAACATTCAGGCTCCTCTCACCGGGTATCCTGTGGTGTGAAAAATGACCTCCTTCTGCTGGTCTCTTTATAATTTTAACTGTTTAATTCGCCTTCTCCTGGTTCTTAGATCATGGTGAATGGGGGATAATTACCAGCTGTTCATCTGCCCAGAGATTTGTGCTTTTCCTGACCTGTAACCCCTCCTTCAGTCCCTTCCCTGTATCCCAGTTCCTCCAAAGCGCACCGGCTTTCCTGACCTTGTGGGGCCTTCAGAGTTACCTTTCCAACGATCCACTTCAGCATTTGGGGTTCTGAGCAGTGCCTTTGCAACTCCCCATCCTCTTTTCCCCCCTCCCAGCCCGTCACAGGGGGGCTCTTTGGCAATCAGAGCCCTGACAGACCCGACGCTGCCACCGCAGCCCTGCCCCTTCCTGTGAAAGGGCCTTTTGGCTGCAGATTTTGGGACTTGCGGCGCTAAATATGGCCTTTCTTAGCACCAGCTGCTGTGCCCCCTCAAGAGCTGGCCCCCTGCCACCCCAACACATGGCCAGGGTGAGACACTCTACGAAATGTGCTTGCTGAGGGCACAGTTCCGTGGCCGGGATCCCGCAGGAACAGTTTGGGCTGGCACAGCCACGGCGAAAATCCCGAGCCAACGCTTTGGGGAAGGAGGCAGGAAGGAAGAGAGGGCTCAGCTCGAGCTCTGGAGCCCTGCCCGTGGGAAGAGGAGCATGGGAATTTAGGGCTGGTGGAAGTTTCCAGATCGCTGCCCGTGCTGCTCGTTCTCCTCAGGATTATCAACTAAAATCCCTCTCTGCAGACCTTAAAGGGGACATTAAAGCCCAACCTTTGGAAGCCCTCTGTCCCTCCTGCCCCCAGCAGCAATCAGCACAGCCACCCCACCCCGTGGAATTCCAAGGCAGGCATGCATATCTCTCCTTTCAGGGTGGGGATTTCTCCTGCAGTCGGGGTTTCACAACTTGGGTTGCAGCTGACAACCCTTTCTCCTCCCGTGCCCGCAGGGCACGGAATGGCTTCTCCATTGGGGAGGTCTGTCCAAGTTAGGACAAGCCCTTCTCTTCCTCCTGGGAGGTTTTGGAAGCACGAGGGCAGCTTTTTCTCATCCTCCTCAGCCTGTCACGCTTGCTAACATCTTCCACCTCACTCTTCGTGCCCAGCTGGGATTATGGGATTATCAGCAGGCACAGGGACCCCACAAAACAGCAGGGATAACAGGCAGAGAGGTCAGACTGTCCAGGCCCAAAAAGGCCATTCCCATCCACTCCCATCTACTCAGGAATGCAGAGCACAGGGGTACTCCTGGGAGAAATGTGGAGATTGAGGGGGAAACTCATGGAAGCTGAAGCCAGGAGAGATAATTTGATAACCCAGCCCTCCTTGCAGTGATGTCAGCTGCCATTAAGGAGGAGATACATTCTTAGGGCTGGCTCTGCTTTTAATGTCATCTTCCTAAAGAATTCCCTTGTTTACCTCCAATTCAGAGGACCTCGGGTGTTTGCTTCTCTCAGAACTCCAGGCAGGTCAAAGTCACAGCCCCACCTGCTTGTGCCTGAAGGAGGAGCAGCAGGGATCCCCAAAATGTGACCTTCAGACCCCTGGGGGTGTGAAAAACATACAATTAATAACAGGCAAACTACTTCAGGGGGGTGTGGCAAGACATTTCAGGCCACTCATCTTCTTCCCAGTGCAAAAGAGAGAGGTTGGATCTCCCTTTCTCGAAAGCAGCTTTACCATTTCTGTGCCTTCGTTTTGGGCGTGTGAATCCGGACAAAACTGAGCAGAGGGATAACCCCTTGCTCCTCAACAACTTCCAACCACATCCATGCAAGGCCATGAAGATTTGGGAAACAGTGACCTTTTGTTTGTCCTCCGGGTGACGTCCCCAAATCCAACCTTTCAGGAAATACCCGTTCTTCAAAAAAAAAGCACAGTAACAACCAGGAGACCCTGGAAGATCCTCGGGCACAGAAAACAGCAGCATCCCTCTGAAAGGGATGGAAGATTTGGCTCCAGCCCCACAAAGGGCTTGTCAGGATGTGGCACCCACCCCATCAGCTCCCAGGAGAGGCGTTCAGATATCCCTGTCCAACGAGCTGTTTGGCTCCAGTCGAGTTTGTGTCGCTTTTAAAAATGCCTGTGGGCTTCAAGCAGAGCCAGCTGTCACAGCACAGGTTATTAACAGCTTCCCGAGGAGCCTGAGCCCCCAGGAGTGCTGGAGCAATGGATGCTGCAGCAGGAACACTGGAGAGTGTTAAAGAACCTGTCAGCCTTTCCACGGGGCTTCCAGCAGGCTCACTGCAGCAGGGAAGTGAAGCAGGCAGCTGGAGGGGAGGGAATTATCCTTATAAACAGTTCACTCGCAGGCAGAGGGGACTGGGAGAGATACCGTGGAAGCAACAATGTGGAATATTGCCCTGCTTGGCTAATGTCAGCTCCAGCTGCCCAACGCTTCCCCACAGCCCGGGGATGCTTTGGGAGAAGGAGGGTCTCTCTTCAAAACACAGATTCCGAACTGCCTAATAATTAATCACAGGATTAACAGCACAGGAGAGCTCTGGCGGGGGATCAGGAATGCCAGCTAAGAAAATCCACGTTCCAAACCAGTCCTGGAAGCACTCAGAGCCAGGCTGAGGGGCCCAGCAAGGCTGGGAAGCCCCCACGGCCCCACACGGACACGCTGAGCAGCAGAGAGGGGGCAAGGAGGAGAGGGAACAAATAAAACCAGAGCCGAGGGGATTGAGAGGAAGGGATCAGTTGGAGGAGAGCTGGGAGGAGTGTAGTGAGCACAAGGGTGAGTGGGAGGGAAATGAATCTGAGCTGTAGGCGGGTGAGAGGTACATAAAGCCGCGAAGATGAGACCAGATTAGAGCCGTGAGTCAAACACTGAGGCATGGAACAAGGCTACAGAGGGTATCCCAGACCCTTCTAATTCACCTAAAAACCTCTGCAGGCAACCCACCCTCACCCTCTGCTGGAGACCTGTTACACAAAGCCAGGGTGCACCCAGTGGGGTCAGTAATGCTCACAGGTCCTGATGCACGTGTGGGAGCTCTGGTGGTGACACGGGTTCCAAACGTGCCCAAAATACATGTGGGGGGTGAAATATTTCCCAAGTCATTTCAGTTTTTACATTTTTGCACCAGTCTTACCTGAAAGAGGAGGGATTTGCGTGGTTCATGCTCCCGGGGCAAATTCAGGCTCCGAAGAGGAAGCAGTTCCATCCACCCAGGCTGTGAATGACACTCATTTTTCCTTCCTCAAGCACACGGGGAGTTAAGACACTCACTCTGGCAAACAAAACCAGCCAACACCAGATTATTGAAACCTGTGGTGTTCTCTCTTGCCTTAAAACCTTACTCTGGGAGTTTAATCCAATGAATGCTATCACCCCCTAATATCATCCATCAGCCATTTCAAGCAGTAATGGGGGCTTAAAGTAGGATGAGTGGATGAATTTCTACTTAGCTCATGCTTCTCTGCATATTAATTTTGAGTCTTGAATAGAAGCACCAAATATCCTGAGCTGGAAGGGACCCACAGGGATCAGCAAAGCCCTGGTTGAGCAGCACAACCTCTCCCTCCCCTCATTTCTGCTTCAACTCAATCTTCCCCACAGCTCCACTGTGTGATTTCTCTGGAATAATTTCCCCTTAGCTTCAGGCTTCAAGCCATGTCTATAGGGAACAGCATTTTAATTCACAAAGCACCTTTCTTGGTGCGCAGCAAGAGGGCAAATACCAAAATAATCTCTTTTCCCTGTGCAGAGACAGCCTGCAAAAGAACCAGGGAAGCTGTAAGCCAGGAAAAGAAGAAGAAGGATGCTGTGACAAGGGTTTCAGGAAGGCCCCTTCATTGTAAAGCCTCTAAAATAATACATATCTATAAAATAAATACATATATACACACAGCCACGGCTGTACAGGCCCACTCAGGCACATGTTACATCAAATGAGAGGTGGCTAAAAGCAGCCACTTCCCTCCAAACCCACCAAACTGACTCACTTCCACATGTCTCTGGTGGAGCAGGGGGATGCTTCAGAGGTGATTTAATCTCTGTACAGGGCCTTGAATTGTGAGTAACATCATACTGCCTTGCCTTCTCCTGTAATACCTTGCTTTCTCCTGGGGGGTTCCCCTGGTAATGTGAATTTTCGTGGAATTACGGCTGGGATTGCCTGGCAGACTGGCTTTTCCATGGTTTTATCAGGCCAGTGTGCACAATCTGGAATAACACCCCGAAGCAAACCCCACACAAAGGGCTCTGAGTAATGTTACAGTAACTCCTGAGCACAGAAGTGCCCCCAGGATGCCCTTTGTGAGCCACAGAAAATAATAGCAGGGGTTTTGTTGCTGCCTCAGAAAGTATAAAAGCAGCAAATTACCCCAAATGGGCCCAGTTTCGTGCAGCCAACAATGCGAGTCATAAAAGCAAGAATATCCCCAAACAATTGCTGAACAATGGGATCCACTGGGGGAAAGCTGAGCAGGAATAAGGCTCCCTCAGGGAAAGGCTCATCACAAATCACAGGAGACGGAGTGCAGCAAGCAAGAGTGACAGCAGAAAAGCCTGAATTTTGATTTGTGGCGACCCAGACTCATAGGGAGAAACAAAGACAAAATAAACCTACTGGAAAAAAAACCCACACCAAAAAAAAGGTGACTTCCTAAGCGTGCTCTGACGGGAACATTTCAGGGTTCAAAAGGGTCCTGTGGGCAAAACTCACCTTCCAGCTGGAATTCCAAATGGGAACCTGGGAAGGAATGAGGGGCTCGAGCACTCAGGACTAAATCAGCTCATCTCTTCTGGGGGAGGAAAAGGGAGAGAAAGGAAATTCAGAAAGGAAACACAACGGGAACAGGCACAGAAATCAGGTCCCGAGGAACTTTTAGTCCCTCGGAGCTCACGCCGGGAATTCCGCGGTGATGCTTCCCCATCTGTCGGCAGCAGCCAGGAGCGACAACGCGATCTCCAGAGTTCTGGCTGCTATTGATCTGTTGGTTCCTTCACTCTAAATATTGACTTTGGGAAACCGAAGCCTCCGAAAGGTGCAGGCTCAGCCTCTTTGACACCTCAGCCTAGGAAGACTTCTAATCTATCAATTTTGTCTGAAAGCTTTTCATTTAAATGGATGGGGAAGCAAAAAGAGGAGAAGACAACCACATTTTAACGTAGGAACACATAATTCTTTTAGCATGCAGCATTGTCACCATTTATTTTCTGCCTACAAACTACACAAGTTGTAGCATCTGCCCTTTCCTCAAATTAATAATTTTCAAAATTACTATCTAGATTACTTCTGGTTCCAGATACAGAGAACTAAACTGTTTTCAGTGAAAACTGAGGGCGAAGCCAAGTGTTCAACCCTGGGCAGAAATTAATGTCCTGGACAGAAATGGAATAGTCAAAGGCACAAGTAACCTCTGCTGCTTTGTTAAGCCAAAATGTTCCCGATTTTTCATTAACTTTGGTTTTATCCCAGTGTGAGGAATTGGAGGCAGGCAGTAAAAGAGGAAAGTGCTGAAAGACACAGCTCGGGAACCCAGCACCACATTTTAGGTCTAGGAAAAACAAATCTGTTGGAACGAGACTTTCCTGGCACAGGAAAATTGAGTATTGTTGCTGCTGGAAAATAAGCCAGGTGATCTCTCCCATACCTGCCAGTCCAAAACAAAGATCACTTTTAGTACAGAGCAGCAGCCCATCATCACTTTAAGAGACAGGGAATATTTCCCATTTTTTCTGTTTCATCAGATCCCTAACCATGTCTGCATTTCACTAAATTGCCCTATTTGTGAACAAAAGTCCATATGGCAGAACTGCATTACTGCTACCCCTAAACATAACCACTTTGTTAATTAATGAGTAAAACTATCGGTCTCAGCGTTAGCAATCCCACTCCTGAGCGTTCCCTAACTCTCCAGTCCCTCCTCAAAAGGACTTGGGAACCAGGAGTCCACTCGGACCCTTCAAAAGGCCAAAATAAAAAACCCCCGCACCCCTTCCGAAGCTCCCCGTTATGCCGCACAGGCAAAGAGGGATAAACCAACGCCGGAGGGAGGTCCCACCTACCCCAGAGCTCCTTCCCGCGGGCAGGGGCAGGGCCGGGGAGCGCCGGAGGGTCTCGCCGGCCCTGCCGCCAACCCGGAGCGGGGCGGAGGCGGCCGGGCCGGGGCTGGACACGGGGCGCGGCCCCTCCCCTGCTCCCCGCCCGGCGAAGCGGGGGAACCCGTCGGGCCGGTCTGGCGGCGGCTCCCGGGCACTGCGGGAGGCGCCGGGACAGGAGCGGGGACCGCGGGCACAGGTGGGGCCGGGCCGGGGGGTCCCGCCGAGGGGCCGGGGGTCGGGGGTCGGGGCAGGGCTGGGGCCCGTCCCGCAGGGAGGGGCCGGGGCACCCGGAACGCTTTCCCTTCCCTTCTCTTCCCTTCTCCTCCCTTCCCTTCCCCACCCTTCCCAGAACATCCCCTGCCGGCAGCGGGCGTCCGGAGCCGTCGGCAGCCCGTGCCCGGCGGGGGTCCCGCGGGATGCGCGGCCGCTGATCCCCGGGCTCGGCGCCGCGAGGTTGAAGGAGAGCGCAGGAGGGCGGTGGGAGGCGAGGTGAGGCACGGCCCTGTCTCCCGAGCCCCGCCGGGCACTGACTCGCTCTCGTGGCCTCGGGCTCCTCGCCCTGCTCCCCGCTTTTCCTCCCCCCCCCCGTGTCTATAAACGATGAAAACAGCCTTCAGGGCTGCGGGGTGATTACATCAGTCAATGTTTATACAGCCCTCAGAGCAGCAATAGGTGTCCGCGTTAAGGAGCGGTATCATTCTGCAACAGAAAATCCCGGAAAAGTTACTTGTGAGATCAGTGCTTGGCTTGGAAAGCATATTTTGAGCTCCAAGAAAATCGGTGTCCTGGTCCTGTTAACCTGCCGGCCCGTGCCCATAGCATAAATAGCATCCCTTCCTGGGAGTGGGGCCGGAGCTGTGCTAAATGGAGCAGCTAATGGAGCATTTCAGCGCGGCTCGGGTGTCACCGGGAGCCGCTTGAAACCCAAGAGGCCGAAGTGCACAGGGAGCGCTGCCGGGATGAGCAACAGCGCGGGGGGCTCGATCCCCGCTCCCGGGGGTGGACGGGGCTGTGGGTGGGATTTGGGATGAGCTGCCACCACCGCTGTGGCTGCTGCTGCTGGAGTCCCTGGGCTTAACTCCCTGTGTCTGTGCTTGCTGGCAGCTTTCTGTCTGGTTCAGGAGTCGAGTGGCATTTGGTCATTTTGTGGTTTCTCCACTGGGTGTTCGTGTCAGAGCATGGATGCTTTTGTACCTGTGCCAGGCCTGGGTTTGTCCCTGTGTTAACCTGTAGGTATCACAGAGACTATTTCCAGTAACTTCTAAACTGTTCTCACTGAATTCTGCCGCGTGAGACAGCTGCTCCGTGCTCTGTTCCTTTGCCTTGCAGTTTGGGATGGCGAATTCCAAAAGCCACTCGCTCTCTTGGCACCAAAGCTATTTTTAAACGAGCCCCAAGGTACTTCCCTGCTCTGCTGTTGCAGTGGTGGTGGTTTGAGGGCAGAGGAATCTCCTCTGCCAGCACTTGACCCTGGGGAGGGGTTGATCGGTGTCGTTACGGGGCCGAGGGGCTGGGATGTTCTTCCCCGCCTCTGGTAAATGAGATGCTTTGTGCGGCCGTAACCGAAGGCAGGATGTTGGCCGGGAGCTGGTGAAACCCAACCCCGGCTCTGCCGGTGACTTACCCAGTGGCCTGGGGCAAATCACTTACCCTCTCTGTGTCCCGGTGCTTGTCGGGGTGAAGAACGCGGCGCTCATCAGGGACCGGGGGTGCGGGAGTTCTCCGGTGCTGTGCCCTGGGACACCTCTGCTTTTCATTCCTCTGTCACGTCCCGTGGGTTCTCCTCACGTGTTCCTGTGTAAATTAGAAATGTGCTTTAAATTGGATAGTGGAGGTGGGCGATTTGAGCGAGTTGGTGGATGCTCTGGGTTACAAAACGCTGCACAGGGGGATGTAGAACTAAAGCAGGGAAAAAAGCAGGGGAAGGACAAGCAATGTGGACAAAACAGGAAATAAATCAAGGAAAGGACTGTTTGCCAAAGCGAGAGGAGGGAGAGGAGCAGCACGGAAGGGTTTGGAGAGCTAACCAGAAATCTCCCTTTTTCTTAAGAAACTTCGCAAGGCAAATTAATGTCACGGTTTGCCTGAGGAATGTTTTTGTTACTGAGTGCACACGAGGTGGAAATCAGCCCAGAAACCGTTTTCTGCCTTGTTTTGTTGCAGATGGAGCCTGATTTGAAGCAGGACACGGGACTCTGCGGAGGCAGGCGGGGTCAGCACCTGTAATGCAGCCTCTGCTTCAGTCCCACACTCCACTGGATGAAGGTCAGTTTAGGAAAACCCCTTCAGTGTCCATTGTAGGTGCTGCCAGAAAAGGTGTTTTCCTGTAATCTCCAACCTCGGGGGCAGGAAGTAACCTTTATTTTTCCCAGCTAAAAATCCCTGCTGGTTTTGATGGGGAGGGCGATATCTAGGAGAAGAACTCTATTTATAACGTTCCAAACAACGCTGTTTGAGTGTGCCCCAAAGCAATTCTTATTCCTTTATTAACCCCAAGATAGGCTGTTGTATAATGTGAACCTTGAGAGCAACGTAACACCCTCTAAAAGGCAGGTGGAAACCCCTTCAGAGTGCACTGGGACCTGCAGCCTGAGCAAAGGTTGCCAGCTGTCTTATCTTCTGCAAAGATAGCCAGTCTTGCCTTGGACTTTAAATGATGGGACTCTGTTAATGAGAAATCCTAGGGCAGATAATGGGTAAAAGGATGATTTTGTTTCTGCAATGGCCCATCTTCAACCATCCTTGTGTGGCCTGGGGCAGCTGGGCCTGTAGGTTGTGGGTTTCTCTTTGCTGGGATGATTTTCTGTAGGATTTTGGGTGTCTAGTTAATCTCTTCCTCGTGTTGGCTCATAGGGATCAATGAATTATGTTGGAGTGTCCTTCATACTCATTTTCATGCATAGCACGGCTTCACTTATCTGCATTTTATCTGCAGCCACGCTGGGATCAGTTGAGTTTGAACCTTTTAGGGGTAATTCTGAGTCACCCCAGGCATAAAGATCAGCTGGGAGGTTGAGTTGTTCCTTCTCTCTGCCTGTCCAAGCACTTGTTACCAGCAGCATTTCATATCTGCTGTGAGTAAGACGGGATCCATCTCATCCACTGGAAGCAAATCCAGCCTATGACTTCCCTGTTTCCCTGCCAGGCCCTCGTTATTCCAGGCTCCCTTTCCAGCTCAGACTCCCCATTACTGGCGAGCTGAGCAGTTGTGGCCCAGCTGGAGGTGGCAGAATAATTACTGCTGTCCCTTAGGGGAAAATGTCACTGGAGTAATTGTGCATCTGCCAGGAGGTCCTTGGGGAACCCCCACCCCGGGGGCTGATGTCAGACGTGGTTTTCTGGCGCAGTTTTGGGAGCTGGCACTCAGCCCTCCTGTGAGCTGGTGTTGGTTTGTGATGCTGGTTCCTCCAGTAAAGAACTAAATCTGATCTGTCTGAGGATCAGGCTTTGCTTTTTCTGATACCTGGTTAAAGCAGTGAAACATCTTGCTGCAGCTGAAGTTCAGAAGGGTCTCTCTGAGTTGCTTTTTGTACTGTTTGTACTGACTCTTGCTGAAAATATGGCTGTTGCTGTGCTGGGAGGGAACAGCCCGTGGCCAGGTTTGAGCAGCTGCTGTCCCTGGCACTGCCTGGCCGTGGGAGGTTGTGCAGAACAATGTGCTGAGGAGCTGAACGTGCAGGTGGTGAGCTGGGCACAGGCTGGGAGGGCTGCCAGGTGTGCCATGGTTTGGCTCGCTCTGCCTCACTTTATATCCTCACTTTATATCCATAATAAACAGAAATAACAACTTTAGTAGCACTTTAATCCTTTTGCTATGCATGTCCCTTGTTCTAGAGGGATCTGTTCACTTTTAGGGCCGCTTTGAGCTCTGATTTACAGCATTAAAGTGACAGTCCCTGTGATCCCAAGTTCTCCAAACAGTGTCACGTGCAGGGACTATTAGAGTAAGATTGGGTTTGGTTGTTGTTTACTGCCTGCAAACAAATGCAGTAAGTGCTTTTTTTACAAGGTTTAAGTTATTCCCAATTAGCTGGTGCTTGCCCTGAGGCAGGAGCAGACACAAAACCCCAGTGACCAAAGCACTGTGGAATTTGTCCTTTTGGTATGTAAACTGGGGCAGGTACGGTTAAACTTGTGTTTAATGCTACTTTCATCTCCTTCACCTCCCCACATATCAATACTGCCCTTGGATCAGCTGGATTTTCCAAGCTGGGAGCCAGAGCTGGGTGTTGCTCCCTGCCAGCACGGGCAGTGTGACCTCCTCTATTAATCCACAAATCTCCTCTATTTGCCAGTTTATGGTTTAGTTCTCCCGAGGAGGAAAAGTGGCTACAGTTAATTTACCTGGGTGTCCATTCCTGGTGTCCATTCCCAGTCTGCTCCCAGTCAGCACCACAGGCTGCTGGTGGTTGTAGGGATTTCCAGTTAGCCACGCATCTGTGCTGCAAAACAAAAGCAGCGTGGTTTTGACATCTCATCGAACCCTTTGCATGATTAATTAGCTCATTAATCATTAAGCAGTTAATCGGTAAAGATTAATAGGCTGAGGGCTGAATCTCTGTGTGCCAGGGGCAGGAGCTTGTTTTGTTTGTCACAGAGCGAGAGCCAGTCAAGGATCTGGTGGCATTTTGTGTGTGTGAGGAGCTCCAGCTGCTCGCCCCCACGGGAGGTGTTAGCAGGGCAGAAAGAACAACAGCAGCCAAAAAGAGCAGGAATAAACCAAAATACCACAGGGAGGTATTCACGGGGCCCGAGCTGGAGCTTGAGGTGTATTCCCTAACTCCGAGGCTGTTTAGGGAAACAAAGGATCTCTTCACAGACCTGACGGGTTCCACACCCGTGTCAGTGACCAGCTGCCATATTCCTGGCTAAGCCCATCCCAGAGCAGCCTCCAACAGCTTGGCTGGGTCCTGGCAGAAGCTGTGTTAGTTCCTGCTGGGTTTGGGGTGTTTTGGGAACTGGCAGGCTCGGGAGCGTGGCCTGCCCGGGCTCCCTGCCAGCACCTTGTCACTGGAGCAGCACAGTCAGTGCTCATTAATATTTATCTCTCTCTTATGGGAGATATGAAGGAGGGGACCCAGTTCAGCTCTGCAGGAGCAGGAGCTGAGGTGGGGTTTGGTGTGGCCCCCTGTGGCCAAGCAGGGCTCCAGCTCCCGTGGCTCCACAGGGGATGATGCAATGGGCACGGGGTGTCTGTGGGCTGCCCAGTTCCTCCATCCCACTGGAAGCGTGCTGCCTCTGGAGCACACGGTGTTCCTTGGGCTGGCGGGTGACACGTGTAATTACACGGAGCAGGATGGTAATGAAGGCCCGGGACAATAACTGCCCTCTGACTGTGCTCTGTGCCGGAGAACCGAGCCCGTGCCCTCTGCTCCTCTGGGGAAACTGGTTTCAGACGTGGGGCTGGTGACCGGCACCAAGGAGAGCTGTGGTTTCCAGCCCCTGCTCGGTGAAGTCCTTTCCCCAACCCGTCCAAAATGCCGGCAGGGCGTTAGCAGGATGAGCTCGGAGAGGGACTCGGAGACCACCCTGGACGAGGACTCCCGGCCCAACGATGAGGTGATGCCCTACAGCGACGACGAGACGGAGGACGAGCCGGAGCCTCGGCAGCCCGGGGCTGAGCCGGGACAGAGCCAAAGCCACGGGCGCGCCGAGGAGAGCCGAGAGCCCGGCAAGAAAGGTACCACGGGTGGGGAGAAACGATCCCGGGCTCAGTTGTCAGGTGGGATTTGGAAGAGCTTAGCTGAGTGTGGAGGAGGAGTTTAACAAAGTCAGAAGGAGACTGAGCTCCGTTCCGAGCTGCAGCGACAGTTCTGGGCCAGCGGTCCTTTGAGCTGCGTGGTGACCTCCTCTTAATTAAGGCAGGCACTGGATGTGCATGGCCTGTGCTCTGGGAACTGCTCGAGCAGAGCTCCAGATGCTTGTCTTCCCAATCCTCTGGGAACTGGCACCAGCATAAGCTGTTTGCTGGGTCCAGTCAGTGGTTTCCCTGGATTTCTGCTCTCCAAGGCTTGCACAGAGCAGATTTCCGCCTCACCGCTCCTTTTGTAGCCTCCTGAGATCCCTGAAAGGTAAAAGGTGAGTAGGAGGAGTTCAAAGGAACCATCAGGTGCAGCCTGTGGCTGCTGCCAGGGTAGGAACATCAGTGGCAGGAACCTTTCTGGCATCCCTTCAAGCCTCTGCCCGAGGAAGAGCTGTAGCTCCTTTAAATCCCTCTTTTGCAGGGCTGCAGTGGGAGTCCTTTTAATTTAACCAAGGCCTGTTTAATTAATACAGATTCCTTCCTGTTTGGGTGGCAACTCCCCTCTCGTTTTATAACCATCTCTGATGTGTTTTCATTTTATTACCACCTATCACACATTTCATTTTGGGGATTTGTAGAATGACATTCTTTAAAGATGATGGCTGACCAATGCAGCTGCCCAAATATTAGGGATTAGTGTCAGAGTTTAAAGGAATTAATTTTATGGAGCTTCCTTCCTGCAGGTTTTATTTCAGCACCTAATTTGCCGGTTTTCTATCAGTTTTATCAACACTGCAATGTGGTGAAGAAATGTTTATATAGACTCGTTGACGATTTTGTTTAGCCCTGTTATTTTCACCAAATTTAATTACTTTCTCAATTCATGCTCTTGTAAACTTTTAACCCCAGCCCTGGTCCTCCAAGGTGAATATTTCTCTTTTATCTTCGGGGCTCGTTGCGAGCTTGTGGCTTTCACGTTGGTTACAAGCCCTGAAAAAAAAGGGGACAGATCCAGGTGTGTCAGTCCAGACTTGCTGGAGGGTGGGAGGAAAACAAAAGGCTTTGTGCTCCCACGCCTCTGCCGCCGGCGGTTTCACCCCGCGCAGGGGGAGGAGAATCCCATGAAACCAGGAAGAGCAGCCGTGGGTTGAGGGAAGGGGGAGATGCTCGTGGGATGAGTCAGGGAAGCTGCGTTTCCAAACCCTGCCTGCGTCAGTCGCAGGCATGGAAAAATCACTTCCCAAGTGCAATTCCTATTCCTGAGTTTTCATGCCATCGGACAAAACTCGTGGCCGAGGGAATAAAATGAGCGCTGCAGATCTGTCCCTTTTTTGTGGGTGTAAATGAAACCCATGGCACGGCGTGGATATCTCAAATTATTGCTTTCAAAAGTGACCCGACCTCTTCGTTTCTGGAAAGACAGGAAGCTGTTTGGAGCGTTTAGTGGCTTCTCCGGTGTCACAGAAGCAAAGGAAAAGAGGGGAGGGAATTTAGCATGGATAAATGTTACTCTGAAGGCTTTCCGTTTCTCACAGACCTTTTAAATTGTTAAGCAACACTTCTTCCTACCCCCGGTGACATTTGAATTGTTAATAAAGACAAATAGCCTGGAAAACCGTCTTGAAAAGCTTTTTTTAGCCTCCGTACTAAAAAGCAGGTACCAGCCTTGCTTCAGTCGAAGGTGCCTTTTAGAAGATGGATTTGAGAGAAAGCCTAAAAGGGACAGATTTGTTCCCTCGCGTTCGTGGCAAGTTTTGACCCGTTTTGTCGCTTCCAGACTGCAGCTGGCAAGTGAAAGCAAACGATCGGCGCTTCTACGACCAGCCCGCCTTTAAGAGAACGATCTTCCTGTGCTTCAAAAAAAGCAAATATGCGGTAAGTTGTCTCGCCTCGACGAGGTGCTAACTGCCAGGCGAATGCTTCCTTTATCCCCGCGGGAGCTTCGGGAGGGCTGGTGAGCGGTGGAAAAGCCACCCTTCGAACTTCCTGAGGGTTTCCAGCAGAGGAGGGGGGAGGATGACTGGGTTGGGGGTCGTGAATGGAAAATCAAGGCATCCAGAGGTGTGCTTAGAGAAGCCAGGTGCCCTCAGCCCAAAATATCACATGGTCGCTTTGCTTAAAAATGTGCACGTTTGTGATGGAAGAAGAACCTGCAGCGTGACTGACATTTGGGTTTCTCCCACAGGACAATGCAATTAAGACATACAAGTACAACCCCATCACTTTTCTACCTCTGAATCTGTTTGAACAGTTTAAGAGAGCGGCCAACTTCTATTTCCTTGTTCTTCTCATTTTGCAGGTAAGAAAGACAGGGAATGCTCCCTGTGAAGGGAATTTGGGCTCAGTAGTATTTGTGACACAGTTCAGGGCACTGCCTGAACTGTTCCCCAGACCAGCCCCATCCCAACAGAAACAGGATGGGCTGGATGCAGAGCTCAGGAATTGCTTCCCTTGCTGTTTTGTAGTCGATTCCCCAGATAAGCACCCTGGCATGGTACACGACGCTGGTGCCCCTGCTCTTCGTGCTGGGAATCACTGCAGTCAAAGACCTGGTGGATGACATTGTAAGAGCCCTGTGAAGAGCAAACCCCCCCCCCGTGCAGCTCCTTTGCCCTGGTGTGACACGCAGCACATTCTCTGCTCTGGTTTCAGGCCCGGCACAGGATGGACAACGAGGTCAACAACAGGACATGTGATGTCATCAAGGATGGAAGGTGTGAATGTTCCTTGTTTGCCTTGTTACTGAGCTTTGTCACGGAGCTGAGGCCGTGGAGGAGAGGGAAGGTTCAGCTCTCTGGTCTCTGCTGCCCGTGTGAAAACCTAATTGAACTGGAAGAGAATTGGCCAAAGGAATAATTTAACATTAATCCTGTGGCACTAAACCTGTGCTGAGAGACTCGGGAGAGAAGGACAGGAATTTATATCTAGGTGGAGGGGGAAGAGAAGAAGTAGGTTAGGACTTCTAAGTTACAGACCTCAAATAAATTGCTGTTTCCAAAAAGCAAACCTACTCTGTCCCAAGAGGTCCTGTTCTCCTCTTAAGGAAAGTTCAGTATTGCAAGATTTATGGAGTGCACAGTACTCTAGATTAAAGAGTAGTAATCATTAAACTATCTTGATATTAGGTTCAAAACCACAAAATGGAAAGATATTCAAGTTGGTGACGTCATTCGTCTGAAGAAAAATACTTTCATTCCCGTAAGTGCTCCAGATACTTTTGGTTTATGTTTCTACAGAGTTCTGTGGGAATCTTGACCTGCATTTATTTTTATGTGATTTGTTTTCTAGGCTGATATTTTACTGCTGTCCAGCTCAGAACCAAACAGTCTGTGCTACGTGGAGACAGCTGAACTGGATGGGTAAGGATGGCTTGGGGTTAATTTGGGATGACTGCTCAAAGAGCAAAGGGGGTGCACGTCAGATTCTGCTTGTTAAGTGGGGAACTGTGGGAACTGTTGATTCCCACAATCCAAGGATCATTATAAATCAGTGAGGGTCCACTGGAGTGCCACAGAGAGAGAATGTGACGTAGGAAGGACCTGGACTGATTTTTTACCTTTGGAAAAGGTTGTCCAGAGAAGTGGTGGCACCCATGGCATTTAATGTTGTTCAAATGTCTCTCCTGTATCCGTGTTTGAAATAAAATTGCCTTTTTATCCTTTCTTCTCAGCGAGACCAATTTAAAATTCAAAATGGCCC